TCGTTGTGATTATCTGATGCACAAAGGACAAAACTGAACCAGGGCTCTGTGCCCTTCCATAACAGAAAGTACTACAGCCATGAATTGGGAAACAAAACCCTCTCCAGGCCCTCAGCTGACAAAACAGAAAATATTGAGAAAAATGGAGTGTTTATAGAGCTCAGGGGTTTTGTTTCTGAGCTTCATGTTAATGATATGTTTGAAGGGATGCTTCTACTCAGCACTTTTTAAAGTTCAGTATCTTTTTCTTAAAATTATAAATACATAATATTATAAATCATAAATACTCCTTAGAGTATGAATTTAAGAATTGCAGTGGGCAAATCCAATTTACCTCTCTCCTAGAGCTGAGGTTTGTCTGCCCAAAGATGCTGGGCCAAGGACACCACAGAAATCCTGGGATTCAGTTTTGCTTTGTGCTCTAAAAGAAAAAAACAAAACAAATGCATTGAGGTACAAACCACGTGAATATAACATGATACAGAACACATGAACATGCTTTCAGCAACAAGAATAAATATTACCATGGCTACAGGATCTACTTCACAGCTTTGTGAGATGAGGATAAATAAACTATTTCCAAACTTTAAAAAAAAAAAAATAATCAGAGATGAGTCTTACAAATAAACTTTGATTTTTAAATTAAGGCAGCTTCAGCAGGAACTTCAAGGCTTTTGTTGAAAACAGACTCTAACACCAAAAGTGTACTCGTGCTTGCAGGTAGAGCTCTGATTCACAGTCTAGTTCTCCTAATTTTGACTATTAAAATGAGCAAAGATCTGTGCACCGAATACCAGGTGTGCTCTCTGCAAAAGTCAGTGTTCCATCAGTAGGTGTCATGTGGGAACTCTGAAACCCAGTTCACCTCTCAGGCATGGGACTGAGGTACCTCTGGCTGAATCATTAACTCCATGGCCGGGAGGCAGACTGGGAATTCAGAATTACAAGAAGCTGTTGCGTTTTTTTTTAAATAAGTGAATGATGAAAAAGGGATATATAAGGGGAGGGCTAAGGAAGCCAAAGGAAAGCACTAAATTAAAAGCCCATACCAAAGTAAGACCTTAAGAAAGGTGACTCTAGTAAGGTCCATCATATACCTGGAACAAAACCAGATCCTAAAACTTTCCAGGAAAGAAACAGCAGGAACTCGAGCGGGGGTTGGCTTGGCTCATCCAGATGTGCGATTCTTCTTCCCTCTCTCCTCTCAGCTCATAAAAGGGTGAAGCCAAATAATTGCACAACAAATGGTACTTCAAGTATTTAGAAACACGGCCTGCATGTCTCAGAGGGGGGATCCTGCACGAGCTGGGGAAATTGTGCACCTCGTGAAACAAAGCTGCCACTTCCAGCAGTCCCAACGCGCAGCGAAGGCACGAGTTCACGTCCTGCACACAGCCCCCTCTTCCTCCTACAGGGCTGCACGCTGACAGCACAGAGCAGTGAAATGAAAAGGAGTAGACAGAAGGGTTATTTTGTTCAAACCTCATCTATTCCAACACAAACGCCACTATAATCACACACAGAAACGTATACACAGCGCACACTAACCAGCTGCTTCACGTTTTTACAACACTGCCCATATATTCCCCCGTGCTTGTACACACCTCGTGAAATGCTAAACTGGACACACAGCTGAAGATGCATTTCTGACCCGTTGAAGGGAAAAAAAAAAATATCCGGCTGCCTTTACCTGCTCAGCTCCAGCTCCTGAAAATAAACCTGCCCCAAACTCCATCAGTACCAGGGCTTTGGCCAGCAGGGGTGGGAGGCCAGGAGTCTCACAGATCCTGATGCCACCTCCCCTCCCATCCCTGGCCAAGGCCATGCTGAGCCTGATGGGGTGAGCTAAGCTACTCATGGGCTTTACCTAAAAGAGGGTGTAAAAATAGCATTCCCTTTGTCCAGGTCCTCTCAGAGGCTGGGATTAGTGAGGGGTGGCAGTGTCCAGGGCACACACCTGCCCTGCTGGAAGAATAAAGCTGAGAGGTCAATGACAGGGATGCCACCTACATTTTTTTTATATGCACGTATGCATATATAATATTTACATCTATATAGCTTCCAACAAGAGCAGCACAAGGTATTTCTGAATTAACTCATCCAGGAGCTGGAGGTTTCTCTTGGAGCCCATCTGAACTCTTTATCCTTTGCATTTTGTCTCCCTCCCCCTCGGGCTGAAGCAGAATTTGGGTGAGCTTGTGGCTTGCAAAGCACAGCTGTTCAGTGGCTTCTGAAGAATTGCACTTGGAGTAATTCAAGTTTCTGCAGTTCAAATATTGTCTACCCTGCTTTTCCCGACACTTGTGCAAGTACCAGCATAACTCAAAAAGAGCTGACCACAGTGTAACAGTGTGGAAGTTAAACTCTTCCTCTGGAAAATGTAACTGGAGGTCAGCAGCTCCTCTGCAGCTGGGAAACAGAACACAGCCTATTTGAAGGTAAAATAAATAATAAAAAGAAGTGAAAGTCCTCAGAGTGTTCCAAAGTGCAGCAGGGATTTGGGCAAGGCTGTGATGGACCGTTCAGCCCGACATGGTCACTGAGGGGCTGCTTCCACCAGTCCTGCTCCCTGCACTGCCTCTGCTGAGCCTGAGCTGGGAAGTGCTTCATCTCTTTGTGTCTCTCCATATGGAAAGCTGAGTAACTCTGCCTGCCCTCCAGGCAGGACTGGCTTTGCAGATCCACACAGCAGTTAATGTTTGCACGGGTCGGAGAAGATGCCAAGTGCCACAAGGGGCTTATTCTACAACCTAGAAATCCCACCCGCCTCCAGGAAGCAAATATTTCCTCCCAAGGGCATTTGCTGCTGCTTAATACTATTAGTTCTGCTGCGTAGGAAATCCCAGAGGACAAAAGTCAATTTGAAAAAAGACATCAGTACATCTACCTGCTCCTGAGCCCCAGACTGTAACACACCAGCCCCTTATCAAGGGGGCTACAGGTGCTGCCAGGACTTGGCAAGATGCTCAGCTGGGAGTGAAGATTTGAAAAGCCTTTAACATTTGAAATACATTTCACTCATTACTGCTTCCTGGATGGAAATTAATGACTGGCCCTACAGCTGCTCCTGGTCCTTTGCAAAGGGTTTGATCCCCATCACCCCAAACCATTCAGGGCTCTTTGCTCATCTCAGCCTTGATCCAAAAGCTGCTGAAGGGCTGGGTGCTCCTCAGATTTGACTCTGGGGTGGGGTTTGGTTTCTTGTTTTGGTAGTTTTTTTTTTTTGTTGTTGTTGTTGTTGTTGTTTTTTTGGTTTTTTTTGCATGCAGGAGTTTGGATTCTCCATCCAAACTCACACCACAGCACTGGGGACAAAAATCACCTGGCAGCCACCAGGCACAGCACCAAAGCCATCCTCACCCCAGAGTATTTATTTAATAATCATAATGTAATAAAAGGCTCATTACAAAACCTAGGAGCACTAGAAATATTTCCAGTATTTCTTACAGTCCAACCACTGTTGTGTTGGATTTAGTGTTCAAGAGCTTGACAGCAAAACTGATTTTTTTTCTATTTTTTTTCTTTTTTTTTTGGAAGCTTTCTACTTTGTGAGGCTTCTGGAAAAACTGCAGCTGTAAAGTCACGTTAGTGAGGATCCAAGCACAATCTGTAACAAAAGTAAGGCAATTTTGTGGTTCTTTTTTAAAAAAAGGGACTTCAAACTGAATAGGTCCATTTAACTGCCAGTAGATGGCAAAAATATCCCATGTTTGTCTTGATTACCTTAAATGATTAGTAAAAAAGGCTTAATTTGTTGTTCTCTTCCTTGCTTCTCATACAAACTTGCAGAAAGTATAAATTAAAGTGCAACTGTACAAAAAAAAAAAAAAACACCCTAGGAAAAACCTCAAGGGGTCATAAGAAGATATCAAAAAGACAGATTACATCATTTTTCAAGTTGAATGACTGCATACCTGGGACTAGCAAAAGTTCTTTGCTTTGTTTCTTAAAACATAAAACAAAATTAAAAAAAAAATAGAACAAAACCAAACCCCCCATCCAACATTTTTTTGGCAAAGCTTTCATAAAGCATTTGTTCCTTGATTAGACTATTACTTCATAATCAAGTAAATGGAATTAAATACCATGTAAAAGCCAAGCAGATGCCAATGCTGCCTATTAGATTAATCCCGTGTAATAAAAAATAATAACTCTTTTAAACAAAGAAGTCACACATGCATTCGGGTAAGAATTTAACCTTAAAAATCCCCTCAGTTCATCTTAAAAAATAAAATCCCATCCTTCAGATAGCCAGTAGCAAAGGAACAGTAAAATTCCGGGTTGGGATATCCCTGCCTGGTCAGCGGAGCAGCGAAGGTCACAGTCCAGTGGGCAGCAGCAGGATGGGAGAGCCCTTGGGCAGGGTCGATGAGTGTCCAGCAGCAGGGAAGGCAGATTTGGCAGTGATTTTGGGCAGGTGGCAACAGGCAGAGCTTCCTAGGGGAAGGGTGAGAGGTGAGAGCTCTGGAGCTGTGCGCTGCTGACGGCTCCTGCCCACCAGGGACCATCCCAGCCCTGGGGGAAGCGCTGGGTTCTCAGCTGGGTGATCCAGATCCTGTCCTCTGCTCACCTGAACGATTCACCAGGGAGCCCCTGGCGAGGCAGGGGAGGGGGAGCAGGCTGGAGGGAGGTGAGGAAAAAGGCAATCTGCCTTCAGCTCCGAGTGTGGAGAGCAGGTCAGTGCTGTCCAGAGCCCTTGGGCAAATAAAGCACCTTAGGGACACTCCTCTGCAAAGAGTGGACAGGGACAAAGACTGCACCTTAGGGACACTCCTCTGCAAAGATTGCACCTTAGGGACACTCC